TATCGTTCTTGCTATTAAGGTCCTAATATATTCTTATCCAATCTTGAAAAAGTCTTAGACAATACAATCTTAGTAAGATCTTAGAATAATCTTATTAAGATCTTAGTAAGATTTGAGTAAGTTTTTCACTAGGGTTGAGTCGAAAACGTTGCCACCAACCAGTTCTCTAGAGCAGCCATCATTTTTGTCACCTGTGAATCCACAAAAATCTCCAACGAACAATGCAGATACTAATAAGATTAATCAGGAGTGGTGAAATCGAGGACAGAACAACAATCATAATAGCTCTAATTCACAGAATGTTCCCAGATGGCAACAAAGAAATTCTGACCAAAGAAATCAATCAACGGTACCTACGTGTTTAAAATGTGGAAGGATCGGACATTCAACAAACTATTGCTTCTCGGACAAAAGTTATACATATTGCGGACGGATCGGACATATCGAAGCAGTTTGTCGAACTAAACAAAGATCGCAAAAAGCCTCAAATTTGCCGCGACAACATACGAACAATCAACATTTAAACTAACAAGGAAGAGGTGCAATGAGGATACACCTACTTCCATATTTACAAAATTCTCATGTGTCGCACGATTTGTTGATCCTCGATCATCACCACCGGAAGATAAAATGGCATCAGTGAACGAACTCAGTTCAGTGGAAAATCTGATGCAGTAGAAGCGTTGTGGAAATTAAGCGTAGCAGGCCGTAATGGAGAGGTTTCACAAATGAATAAGCAACAAATTCTATCTGTATTCAACAACGTTCATAATTCAGATTCGAAATCAGTAAAAGACGAGAAGAATGATTCACCAACAATCACCGCAGATGACTCAAATGATGATACCATGTCGAAGGAGGTTGCACTACAACAAGATGTTGAAGAAGATGATCACGATCCATTATGTCCTGAAAAACGAGCATCTAAAAATTCATCTAAGAAAGCTCGAACAAGGAGGAAACTGAGAAAACAGATCAGATTGTGGAAAAAAATGAAAAGAACAAAAGCGAAAGAAAAACCAGAACGTAGACATGCCGAGAAGAGAACAAAATCTAACCCAGTTCTCGTGAATCAGATGATAAACTCCCAACTAACATCTCCTGATTCCAATTCAAAGTATCGAATCACGAAAGGCTGTGCTATTATGCCGTCAAAATTCCCTAAAGTTGCTTTATTTTCATTTTAAAAAAGATTATATTAAAAAACAGCGACTTTTTCATGTGAAAAATTAAAAGACTACTAAATGTTTTGGTTAGTGTTCTTAGCCAAAACGGATCTTTGTGCTCGTTAAGATTTAGCCAATTTCCCAGCTATCAGTAATACCACCTACAGATCTATGCTTTGTGTCTAGAGACGTTAAAAAACAATCTGGCAGCAAGCAAAATAGCTTTCAAACTATCCTAGTAACGAAAACAATCACTGTACGAGTTCAAAGAAAAGAAAAATAGCGAATGCATTTAAATCGCGCCGCGACAACGGGATTCGCGCCGCGACAACGGGATTCGCGCCGCGACATCGGATTCTCAGCGCAACATCGGGATTCACACCGCGACAAATAGCGAGTCGCGCTGACTCCAGTCGCGTAAGCAAGAATCGCGGCGCGACAATGCCAGTGTACGTAGTTCTATGCAACATCACATCGCGAGAATAGCAAATATACATCCCATTCAGTAGTATATCGCGACAAAATAGCGATCGCTAAAATCGTGTCTTATTTCGCGAGTCTTATAGCGATCGCGGCGCGATTTTTTAGCGCGAGTCGCGCCGCGATTTCATCGCGAAAGTTGACTTGGGGACTCAGATAGAATCATAAAATTGGTTCACGTTGATTTTTATTCACCTCAAAGTAATTTTAGTTCATTTTAGTTTTTGGCCGCTTCCAACACGCTGTGAAACGGCTCAAAAAAATGCAGAAAAAAACATGGACAAGAAAACTGAAGGCCAAAACTCACGAGTTCCTTTGATTTCAAACAATCTTTCAACTGTATTCAATGCAGCTGAAAATAAAATTTAGGCGAAAACCACGCAGATTATGTCGACGCCAGAAAATAAGACAAAGTAAAATTAAAAGGAACCCGCTGTCGGATTCACCGAAAAATTTTACACCAAGTGCCCAATTTTTATCTGATTTGGTGCAGCACGGCAAAAGTACCTGATTTTCTAATGTTTATATCTTCGACTGAAAATAAGGAAACAAAAGATTCACTATAAATTCTAATTTTTACAAGGATCTATGCTGTTTCCCTTGGCTATTTGTATGCAAGAAAAATCTTTGTTTTCTTATCTTCAGTTAAAGGTATAAAAATGCAGTTGAAAAATTGTTTGAAATTGAGGAAATGCCGCTTGCTCTCAAACTTTTATAGGTTTTCTTTTTATATACTGGCATAAAGTTGAATGTTTTAAGACGTACACTGAAAACTTGGTTTATAATACAAAATCTTATCATTATCATAATCAGCTAAATACAAGTCATAATTATCCAACAACAGAATAGCTGTCAAAGTCGTACTAACAGCCCATGATGCCAGCAACGTTGAACCCATCGCATCATACACTCTCACACCATAACCATAAACTACGACCCACATTCTGCCACAACTATCCCACGTCACTTGGGCCGGTATCAAGCCCGACGTGGACGTATTTGTCGCTGGTAGGGGTTCAACTGTCCAACTTTTATTAAACGAAATTTGATAGACAGATGTACCACCAATCCAATGTGTCATGTACACTAGAGTGTCATTGTATGTCTGAAGGCTATACGGTGAACTGTACGGCGTTGTTAGTGACAAGTTTAAAGTGTAGCTGGACGCAGAATTCACATGGTAGAAGGAGATTTTATTCGCGGCTTCAACTGCAACTAACATTTGAGTGGAGTTGCGAGCAAAGGCGACTTGACGTGCACCACCGGAGATGGTTAAGTTGGAAAGGGAATGAGAGAAGTTGTAAGATGAATAGACGTAGACTGTGCCTGTATTGTCACATGCTAGAAGGCAAAGAAATAAACAGATCTGAGATCGGGCAGTAGAATTGTGAAACTGTCAAACACACTTACCAACGTAATAATATCCGTTATTATATGAAAGCGCAGCACATCCACTTGCAATACTTTTATTCGTGATCACACTAAAATTTGCTCTATTCATCTGTACCAAATTACCATAGTAACTCAAGACCACTAAATAATCATTATTATCTAATACTAAGAATGCTGGTGATGAGAAGTTCACAGTGACTTTCGTGGCCAGTTGCATCCTCGACACTAACCACGATGCATTCGTACAACACGGTTGACTTAAATTTTGAAATGTGTAAACTGTACAGTTTGAATAATTTTGTTGAATAAGCCAAAATGAAGGAAGAGTGAAGAAAAATTGACAAGAGTTATTGGTAAATCGATTGAAGAGAACGGGAGAGATGGATGATGAGAAATTATTCTTGAAACGAAGTGCATAGCAGAGACAGGATGTGTAGTTAGTTTGATTGTAAAGCCAGATAGTGCCGTTGTTAAGGTTGTCAGCACTTGTAAAACGCACTTGGTTGATGTGACCGAAGTTAACGAGGGAGAATGACAAGCAGATTAATGAGACAATAATAATAAGCAGCAGGAGTGAAGGTGACTTCAACATGATTTTTGAAAAGTGAAATGTATTAAGCAAGACTAAGAAATGAAACTAATTTTCAGTTAAAGTATTTCCTTTTTTTCCTTCTCTTTACACTAGAATATACACAAAAGTCATTACTTACATGATTTTCTTTCTTTTCTATGTAGTAGAACGGAATAAGTGTTGTTGAACGAATAATTAAAAAACTTTCAACATGAATGTTTAGAATTTTAATCTTTGGTTATTATTGCATCATGCGTAAAAGAAGCTTTTACTTTAGATAAAGATTATCAAAAATTTATGATAGAATTTAAAGAGTCCAAGGATCATAGGAACATAAGAAAAGGCTTCGTAGTTCAGTTCAAACCTAAAGGTACTCATTACTCATTAGCATGAGCAAAAGCACTAAGAGTGGCAAGTCTTTGAACACTTAAAAGAGCTTGAAAAGGTAAGGGCATGGACAAGAAAACTGAAGGCCAAAACTCACGAGTTTGTTTGATTTCAAACAATTTTTCAACTGCATTTTTATATCTTCGACTAAAGATAAGAAAACAAAGATTTTTCTTGCACAAAAATAGCCGAGGGAAACAGCACAGATCCTTGTAAAAATTAGAATTTATAGTGAATCTTTGTTTCCTTATTTGTGTGTATTCTAGTGTAAAGAAAAGGAAAAAAAGGAAATACTTTAACTGAAAATTAGTTTCATTTCTTAGTCTCGCTTAATACATTTCATTTTACAAAAATCTTGTTGACGTCACCCTCACTCCTGCTGCTTATTATTATTGTCTCATTAATCTGTTTGTCATTCTCCCTCGTTAACTTCGGTCACATCAACCAAGTACGTTTTACAAGTGCTGACAACCTGCTAGTGACTTGCGGTTTCCGCCATTCGAAAGACAACAGATGGGGAAACAATCCCACGTGAAAATATAAATTTGAGAAAAATTTCCGCTAATTAATTATTGCGAACGAAAATTGCAAAATTTAGCATGTTTTCCAAAAAAAAATTTTGTTTTCGTTTTTCCGTGGGATATATATACCTCGACGAGCTCTTTCGAGTGGTACCTCCGCAACCCCCAATATTTCGGTTCCTTGCTGAACTAGAAACGTTTTAATAGGCTGGAAAACGCGAAAATTGCTTTCTTATAGAAATGCAAAAAAGCACTCAAATCTTAGGTTATCGACCACGCTGATGAGGACGGAGATGTTTATTTCACTCCACGAATTCTTTCTAGTACAGTATTTGCACCTTAGATCTTAATACTCTCAACAAAAAATCGCTATAGCGGCATATTCGACCATGAAAGGGCTAGTGTTTTCAATGGTCGCTTCCCAGTTTGCAAGCTAATTGACTTTTTATACATTTTCGTATTTCTCATTTTGCAAGCCAAAATATGAACGAAAAAATCTCCCATTTTGCAAGCCAATTAGTTTAGAAAAAAATATCGATTGTTTCATTATAAAAGTAATCAGATGTTGTTAATAAAAGAAAGATAATTAATCAAAAGGAAAAAGAACAATTAAGACATGATATTGAAAAAAAAGCTGGTAATACAAGAACGATGATCCAGCTGTCTATTTCAAATCGGATTCAAAGTGTTTTGATGTATTCTTAGAATGAGAATGTTGTCAAGTTTTTAGAAGAAGGTTAATGATTAAATTCAATGTTTCGGACTGAAACGTCTAAACAGCAGATTGTTTATCGGGGCCTATAAAATGGAGATGCTACAATACTGTGATACCCGTACTTCTTCAAATCAAAAGTTATGCAATTTTCAATTGATGATAGTCGTAGTGGTAAAAAGTATCTACATGTGGATAGAAACGAATATTCATTACGGAAAATAAATAAAAAAGGTGCTCGCAGGAATTTCGGAATTTGTATGATCAGTTTGATTTACGTCCGAAAACTAATAATGCTGTAGAAGGTTATCATCGTAAACAAAATTCGTATGTACTTAGAAGTCTTTAATCTTACTTGTTATTTATAAGTTTTGTCTTCCTTGGTAGACGTGTTCCGGCTCATCCAAACATTTATCGGTGGATCGAGCAAATTTGTAAAGAAGAAGATTATGCTCGCTGTCGTGGCATCTTGGAAGTAGGTAGTGGTGTAACATCCAAAAACCGGCGAAAAGAAGACGAAGACGCTGATTTCGATTTGTGTGTAGCCAAAACGGCATTAGCTATTGGCGAAATAGAGTTTGAAGATTATCTCCATCATGTAGCATATAAGTATATTTTTGAGGTTGGTGGAAAAAAGGACGTTTAAACTTATATTACCAGCTTTTTTTTCAATATCATGTCTTAATTGTTCTTTTTCCTTTTGATTAATTATCTTTCTTTTATTAACAACATCTGATTACTTTTATAATGAAACAATCGATATTTTTTTCTAAACTAATTGGCTTGCAAAATGGGAGATTTTTTCGTTCATATTTTGGCTTGCAAAATGAGAAATACGAAAATGTATAAAAAGTCAATTAGCTTGCAAACTGGGAATGAGCCGTTTTCAATAAGTGCACATATTATTCTTTTCTTTAACTTTTCCATAGCGCCTGCACTGGACGGCCACCTCTTTTTCGTTCTGAGTAAATAGAATACGGATTCGCTATTGTCGCTACGTGATCTTGAATATAACCAGTATCACTTATGTCGTCGCGCCGCGAGTCTTACCTTCTCGCGACTGTCGCGGAGCGAATCCCGCTGTCACGACATGATTCTCGGTGCATTCGCTATTTTTCGTTTTTTAAGAATCACGCCGTGATTTTGTACTTACTTGCGCATTGTGAAGTTCATTCTAATTGCTGTCTTACAAACACTTCTTTAACATCTCTTACAGTCACAAAACACAGATCCTTAGATATTACGGGCCCTGACAAATACCACAGAGATCGATTCCGCATTTGCCTTTAGGGTTTATGCTAACGAATCTTTTTTTGTTTTCGCGGCTAATTATTATTAATGATTATTTTTGAACACATTTGTGAAGATACAAAAATAGCAAAAGAAAATAATCAAAGAAAAAGCATAACATCTTAGTAAATCTGATTTCTGGTTCTCAATCGAATCGGTATGTCACTCAATTCATTTCCAACCAATTTATCATTTAATATTAAAGTTTATTATTTATCATTTAAAATTCTGATTGTGATGACAGTTGTTGCTGACTACCTGAAATTGTTGTTGTGATTGTTGGCAACGGCGAAATAATACGAAGAGCAGGTTGCTGTCGTTGAGTGAGAGCACGAGGAGATGAAGTAGAAGTTGATGGTAGATAGTCGTCTTTGTTGATGGTGATAGCAGTAGCAGCAGCAGAAGGAAGATTTTCTTTCGGTGATATTATTACATTTTGTGTGGATGCACCTAGAAAGAAAATTAGAAAGAACAGAAAGTTAACCATGAATGCTTCAAGCTTGTTCTCCTGCTAGTTTATTAATGCGATTCCGAAAGGCAATTAAGGAGCGCCTTGGTACATGATGTCGTAGTTTATATTTGAGAAATTTGGACCTTAGTTCGTCGTCACAGGTCAACGAAAAATCCTTTAATATCGGTTATCACCGTAGCTAGTCTAGCCTGTATTATCCTTTAGACCACACGAAATACTATGAATAACGACCCTGATTTCGAGATTAATAGTGGCTTATTCCCTTTTTGAATTTTTTCAAAATTTATTCATTTATCAAAAATGGCTTGTTTTGAATTTTTTTCACCAGCATTAGTGGGAGCTCCTTTGTTTGTTCTTCTTTGTTTTCGGGCTAAAAAGGTTAGAACGAAAGAAATGGTATAATAATATCGATAGGACTTGTACATTCTACATTACTTTTAATTTATGGTTCTTGTGTTTGCTGTGATGATGGTAAATTTTCTTTTGAACTTATTGAATTGTCAAAGACATATTCGCTAGTTACATTCGATATACTTTTAAGAGCTTTTTTACATTCATTTTTAAAGCCTAAACACATAAATAGAAGAGAATGTAGTGTGAAATGACTGCTATTCATCGAAAATTCTGATTTGTTTAACGTAAATTCTATTAGAAAGTTTATTCAGCTAGGAGTCAATTTTATAATTAGGCGCTATTGCTTACTTAGTTTATGCTCCTGAAAATTTTGAGCGGGCAATGCTTGGAAATACTAATGATGTATACTTTGATCACCATCATCATAAACTACACATTCATCAAATGGTACAATTTTGTACATTATATCGCCAAAATGTAATAGGCAAAATTTTTGATTAATACGTGAAGGACGAGTAGTAGGAAGAGTAGGGGCTGACATCTGAAACAAACAACAAATTCAGCATTATTTTTTAAGTCACGGCAGTTTCTTCATTAGCAACGATCTGGTAGCGAAGTAGGAGTCATAACTTTTCTACAAAAGCTCCTCAAACCAAAACACCACTGTCTTTTCTATCAAAGGAAGCCGGCTTCTATAAAAACGACTAAATAGGAGTTTTTCGCTCCACGCGCTAAGCACTACTAATCTCACTGAATTTTCTAGAGGTAGCTTTGCAAAAATAGTTTTTTAACATAACTTTTAACATACTCACTTAGAAAAAATAACGGCGGGAGCCGTGATCATATTAATCGTGTTCTACTGTACATAAAATTTCCGTGAAGAGATGCTTTCCTTCGAAAGGAATAAATATACATTGTTCATAATTTTCTCAACTTTCTCAACTCGAAAACTCCCGTTGTTGAGCGTTAAAACGCGCTTTTATTCCAGAATTTAAAAACAATGAGTTTTAACGCTCAAAAACTGGAGTTTTCGCCGTTTTCACGGTCTGAAAGTGAAAATTTTGCGCAAAAAACGCGTTTCTTGCGTTTTTTTAATGAGCGTTACTGACTCACAATCGCGGTTCCCTTTCGAGCATTTAAACGCGTTTTTCCAAATGTTTGTCTGCTTGGGAAGTTCATAATATTTATCGAGATAATGATTAATTGTTTGTGCTAATAAATCTTGTATTTGTGTTCGAAAATTGGTGCCTGAACACTTAAAGGATTTTAAGAAGCCATAATCACTGCCGTTTAATTAAAAGCAAAAAATAATTGCAGCAAAACATTTTTTTGTAGCACAAGAATCATTTTTGAATGAAATACAATAGCTGGCTTTTCCTCCTGTCCTCTGATAGATTAATGAGTGATAATTAACCAGACCTCGTCGGAAACGACAAAAGATATTTAAATTCTTTAAATTGATATTATAATTTTGATTAAAAATTATTAAAAAATTGTCTAATTCCTTTTTGCAGATATAATTAGAATCAAAAATTTCTTCATGTAAGAAAAGTTTCTCTAATGTTAATGTTTCTTCTTTTACGACACTTCTTTGGATTAAGTAATGATCGAAGATATTTCTTGCAATTTTAACATTGCTATTTCGTAGAGTTTTAATATATCCTAAAAAACTTTCTTCGGAAAAGCAGCTGTAACTGTATAAACTGCCATTTTTTCTAACTTGATTTGGAAAATATTTTAATATATGATTAGTACAGAGATCGAATTCAGCACCATAAATTTGTGGTATATCTTTTCTGTATGTTATTAAAAGCTGTTCAGCATCATTAATGTTTCCTTTTTCTTCGAAGTAGTGTAATATTCTAAGAAGGTGAATTCATGTGAAATTACCACAATTTAGCAAACTAACTGTGCGCACGGCGTGACTTCCATTATATTCTAGTGTTTGAATATATAGAATGATGAAAACCGTAGCTTCTGCTGCGAAAAAAGTTATGGCATTTCACTTTGACAGCGAAACAGTTTTTGTGTTTTGGCATTTTTTACCAACTTTCACCAAGTCGGTACTTCAAATAGCGGTTCCGCCGTCGCATACGATTTTACGGGCTAGTCTGAAAATTATAAAGTTTGAAGAACTATATGTTTCTTGAAGGTAAAGTTTGTTTTGCTAAACTGAGAGCTGGTGACAGAAGTCTTTAAAAGCAGAGTTTGCTCAAACTACTCGCCAAACTTAAACTCAACCCGAAACTTTCTGAAGGGATGACCGGATTATTCTCTACCTACTGAGATATCTTAATGCCTGTCAAATTTCTACGACGATCTTTTAATAATCGAGAGCAGAGATATGAAAAGGAAATGGATCTTCGTAAGACAAGAACGAATTCATAGCAACTTAATTAAAGCGAAACAATGACAAACTTGTAGAGCATAGTACGTCTCGTCGTTTGCGCAAAAAGTCAATGTTATAACAGAGATATGTTTCACATGAACTCACCTCATAGCAATAAAAAATAAAACAAAATAATCACTAATAGGAACTGGTAATAATTTAATTGCCATTGGCATAGACAAATATAATAAGAAAAATTTTATATCTTTTGATTTCCACCAATCAAATGCAGAAAATGGTTTTAAACTAACTTTAATATCGTGTGGCTGCATAATTTCCATGATAAAATCGGACATAGCCGCAGCAGTTGCAGGTTTCACGTGATGAAACCATTTTCTTAATAAATATCCCATATGACCAGAAGAACCACAAACTGCGTGTATATAATCAAATAAAGCATCTTCATTAACATTACTGAATATTTTTAACAACGAACTAAGTCCTTTGATTCCTTGAACAATAGCTATCTGCCCTGGTCCTGCTTGAGATAATTTCGCCGCTTTTACAAACATGTCATGTGTACGGGGTTGACCTTGATCACTATAGGGATAATAAACAAAATTAGAACCTCTGGTTTCACCATGTATTAAACCATTTGTACAACAATCATATCCATTGAACTGTGATATTTTCCATTTCATTGCTCTACATGGTTGATCGTTTTTATCACCTTGAACTCTAAATTTAAATGATAATTTTTTCTTATTTTTGTCTATCAGTGTAATATTTGACTTCATCAATAGGTCTAAATCATCAACCAAAATGTCCGAATAACAATTCGGTCGATGGTTCCAAATATAAACTTAATACAAGTTTATTTTTCACATGATCATGTAATGGAGGAGGTATTTCTAGAATAGTACCGATTGTAGCATAACAATTCTTGTGTTTCGTATTAAGCATATCGATACCATCACTGTGTAGCTGCAGGCTTAAATTAAGTGATCTTGTAGAAGCTTCACGTCGATATTTATCGCCGTTAATAATGTCGTTAGGTAATAATGTAGCAACGTTTGATGGATATGAAATTATTAGATATAGATTTCGCTGTGTAACATCACAGATAGAGTCTTTTAGGTTGTTAAAACATTGTTCTATTATACCGTCTTCACTTCGAACTTTTCCGTTTAATCTACAAGTCGCTAAACATTCATTGGTTTTCATATTTAACAAATTTGTACAATTATTACATAGTATTTTATAAATAAACGGTTTTCGAAGTTTGAATAAACGTCGACGATTTAAATTATTATTTTTTGGAAGTAATAAAAAAATTAAATCTAATAATTTTCTCTGATGAGAAGATGGCAATTTGCATTCTGCAATGTAACATTTTATAGCTAAAACTGCGTGTGAGACATTGATAGGTGCGTTTTCATAGATCAATTGATCTGAACAATCGTCTTCATTGTCTGATTCTTGATCCGAAATATTCATTGGAGAAGAAGAATTGAAATAGTTATCTTTCTCGCTACTTTCATCTGTGTCATACGAATCTGATTCATGGTTTGCATCATCACTCGTCTGATCAAACATTAGAGCTAAAGTATCATTGTTTTTCCTGTTACTGATATCGGTAGTGGTAACATCTAAAGTCGTTTTTGGTGCATGTAGAAGTTGGCGTTGTCTTGCACGATATCGATGCTGACGAGCTAAATTACCGTCACCGTCTAATGACAGAAAATTAAGTTAAAAAAGCGATGAAAATAATTGGTGATGAATCGAAAGATTTATATTAAAAAAAAAAACTAAACTATGATAGAATGTGGTTTAAAACGCACGAACACCGGCAAAACATAATGATAAACGTCTCTTTTATTTCGACTTATCTCTGGAAGGATAAAGCCAAGAAAAAAGGATGG